GAAAGAAAGAGTTCATCATAAAGAGTCCCTCTTTCTCCATGAAGTCGACCAGCTGCTGGCCCCTTGGGTTCCGTTGCCCTATTCCAAATTTCCCTACTTTCAGCTCACCGTTCTCTCTTGTGCCTAGTTTTGCATTGAAGTCTCCCATTAACACCGTATATTGGGTTTTGGAGGAATGCATGGCTCTAGAGATATCCTCATACATTTCCTCCACCTCCTGATCGGGGTGTGCCGAGGTTGGTGCGTAAACCTGTAAGACCTCCAGCGAATACCGTTTGGTGATTCTGAGTAAAAGGTACGCAACCCTCGTCGACACACTCTCAATCTTTACAACGTTGTTAACGAGAGACTTGTGGACGATAAATCCGACACCTCCTTGGGACAGATGGTCGCCCTCCCGGTAATAGAGCAAGTTGCCGGATTCGAGGATTACCGTTACCCTCTCTTCGGAGTTCGGATAATCCTATAATATGCCAGCGTAACTTGTCTATCTCTTCTTCCAGCTCCACAATCTTCTCGTCAGTCCTCAGGGTGCGTGCGTTGTATGTTGCCAGGTCGAGTCGTTGTAGGTGGCAACCGAACCTCCACCGGAGATTCTTAGCACCCCCTGCCCCGCCGTTACCATGGTCGCCACCGTAGCCAGGAATAGCGGGGCCGCCGGGGACTGGGGGCCGTCTCTTCGTAACTTTCATCATGGGGGGTTTGCCATAGTTGCCACGCTTGGCGAGCGGGTGGGCAACCGCAGATTTTTATAGTATTTTTGCCGTTACCAGGAAGATGCTGCTGCCCATCTCCTGCCTGTTTCCCTTTGTCGCCTTTTACGACACCCAAGGGAAGATATGGGGTAGTGGATATTCTTAACCGCCACTACACGGATAGTAGATCGTGAGGTATGCCATAAGGTTATGAATACATCAATTTAGATCATATGTGTTTAGGTAAAATATTAACCGTTTGAAAATTGAATTCATAACGCACGCTCGGAGCGTGCATAGCACCGTAGCAAGGTCACCGCCGCCCTTCCGCGCGCTCGCATTCCATTCGAAGTCGTGTCTTCGGAGGTGTCGAGAGAATCATTGTGAGGAACTACCGGTTGTAAAGGACGCGTGTGGAATTATAACGTCGATTTCAGTGCCTCTCATTTTTGCGTTTTTTTTTGTTTGTTTTACGTGTCAACGAGGCTGAATTTTGAGTTTGAGCGATTAATTAACGTCGTTACAATTAATTAGCGTGGTATAGTGGTTGCATGCATAAGTGCATTCTGACAATATTAATTCGCGTCGACGAGTTGCTTTGTGCCATTTGATTTAACTCGGAGATATTTTCCTGTGTCGGTTAAAACCGCTAAACTTTGGGACCCGCGAGAACCAGCGTTCGTATTAGATTATAGATTTGTGCTAATGGACGCTAGACTTTGAGTGATACCGACTGACGCCGCTGGAGTGATACCACATAGGGTGGCGGTGCTGGAGTCAGGGTTGCTGCTGATTAAAAAGGGCTAATTCAGGTTAAACATATATACACTTCTCACACACTACTTACATTCACTACACTTAACGCCTGAACGAGCCTTGTGGTCCTTCTTCGCTTCTGAACCAGGTAAGTCGCATTAAGTACCTAATCTATATATATTAAATATCCATAGGCATTTGAGCCCCACACTTAGTTGTCCGTCGAATCTACAGCTGTATGGGCCCCTGTATAGTCGACCTTAGTCTGGGCAACTAGGTGCGTGTACATTCTTGGTAGCAATCAGCGTGGTTAATTGGACTCCAATTACCCTCGGCCGTGTTAGAAAAATAAAAATATTCTTTTTTCTTCCTTTTTTTTGTTTTTTTTTTGTTTGTTAGGGCTAGGTACTTACGCGTAAGGTATTTTGAGTAGGTAGATAATGTTATCACGTAATCGGATAATTATCGTTATCGTATAATTATAGTAGATTAATTGTCGAAGACACAAAAACTCTCCGATCACACTCTTAATCTCATGGCTGTTAGACGGGAGATGAAGCTACATTCTTCAACAGACTTGACAGCATACCGGCATCTGAACAGACAGATCTCCAAATGCATGCGGCGGGACTTACGCAACTTCAATACAGCTCGTATTGAAGAAGCGATCGAGCGGAACCAAGGCTCCAAAGTCTTTGCCAGAGATCTGTCTGCCAGAAAGAGCCAACTGTCAAAGCTGAAGACAGAATGTGGCAGCATCGTTTCCGGTACACCTGAGATTTTGAGTGAGATTGAGAGGTTCTATGGGCAGTTGTACACGTCATCGTTGGAGCCACACGCAAGTGTGAGTAACGATCCAAGAGCGAGTCTCATCCGACACTATTCCGATGATATCCCGGACGTCAGTCTGAGCGAGATTAGAATGGCTCTCCAGCACCTTAAAAACGGTAAGGCCCCAGGCGAGGATGGAATTACAGCGGAGCTTCTGAAAGCGGGTGGAAAACCGGTACTTGAAGTCCTTCAGAAGCTCTTTAATTCCGTCCTCCATGGTGGCATTACACCGGAGGCGTGGAGCAGAAGTGCGGTGGTCTTGTTCTTCAAGAAAGGTGACAACGCTCTCTTGAAGAACTACAGACCGATTTCCCTTCTGAGCCGGTGGACTATGAGAAAGCCTTTGATTCCGTCGAAATTTGGGCGGTGCTGCAGTCCCTTCAGCGGTGCCAAGTTGACTGTCGGTATATCGAAGTGTTGAAGTGCTTGTACAGTAGGGCTACGATGGCTATCCGAGTACAGAACCAGAGTACGAAACCTATCCAATTGCAGAGAGGTGTAAAACAGGGTGACGTCATATCCCCGAAACTCTTCACCGCTGCATTGGAAGACGTTTTCAAGCTTCTGGACTTGAAAGGATACGGTATCAACATCAATGGCGAGTACATCACTCACCTTCGATTTGCCGACGATATAGTCCTTATGGCAGAATCGCTGGAGGACCTAAGCACTATGCTCAATGACCTCAATAGTGTTTCCCAACGGATAGGTCTTAAGATGAACATGGTCAAAACTAAGATCATGTTTAATGTTCATGTCACACCTATGCCGGTAGTTGTTGGGAACACTAAGCTCGAAGTTGTTGACGAGTATGTTTACCTGGGACAAATAGTCCGACTAGGTAAGTCCAACTTCGACCGAGAGGTCAATCGACGGATTCAACTCGGTTGGGCAGCGTTCGGGAAATTACGGCACATCTTCTCGTCAGGTATACCTCAAACCTTGAAAACAAGACTGTACACCCAGTGCGTGTTGCCAGTGATGACATACGGAACTGAGACGTGGTCCTTCACTGCTGGCCGGATGAGGAAGCTCAAGGTCGCTCAGCGAGCTATGGAGAGGGCTATGCTGGGAGTTTCTCTGCGTGATAAACTTAGGAATGAGGATATCCGCAGTAGAACCAGAGTAACCGACATAGCCCAACGGATTAGTAAGCTGAAGTGGCAATGGGCCGGCCATATAGCTCGAAGAACCGACAACCGATGGGGAAGAAAGGTTCTCGAGTGGCAGCCTCGTACCGGCAGGCGAAGTGTAGGGCGTCCCCCCACGAGATGGAGTGACGACCTGGTAAGACATGCAGGAAGTCGATGGATGCAGGTGGCTCAGGACCGTGCTTTGTGGCATTCTTTGGGGGAGGCCTATGTTCAACAGTGGACTTGTGAAGGGCTGTAATGATGATGATGAATTGTCGAAGTGTCGGTCGCTTCAGCGAGGCATCTTTTCTGACCGACTGTAGTGTGTACTTGCCGTGTAGTGTAATTTGTATCTAATTTAATAAATAGTAATTTGTATTTGTGTAATTTGTATTTAACTTGATTTGATCGTAATTGTATTTGTTATTTGTTAATTGATTTGTATTTGAGCCGCGTAGTTAATTGTATTTATTAGTGATGCCGTCGCACAAGCAACCGGCGCTTATATATTCATAATAAAGGACTGCGTCCTTTGGGGGGCGGAATGTTAAAGCGAGCACTTACCTAATGAATATTACCTATAACTAGCTATCGATATGTAGCAAAATCATACAGTCCACTAAGAAATGTCATATGTAATGTTAGTTCAAAATAAAAACTCGTATCGGCCGCACGTCTATTTATTTCAAAATCCTTGTAAATCAAAATCAACCTTATCGCTCTAAACACAGGCTTTTTAGCTCTACCAACTGGCAGCGCGCTGCGTCCTGAAACTACAGTTGACACAATAGAACCCCGAGCCCGGGGTACCAGCAGCAAGTTAGAGGATATGTTGAGAAAGCAGAGAAGCAACTAAAGCTTTTCATCGGACGCAGTTTTTAAATATATTTATCACTAGCTTTTTACCCGCGGCTTCTAAATTGCATGCGGATAAACAACAAGTGTGGTTGTCTGTGTGAGACAAGAAACTTTTTTTGTTAAAGAAATAAGGGTGGCAAACTGGCACACTTACTGATGGTAAGTGGGTACTATGGACATAAAAGTTACAGCTTATATACATACGTCCCACTGCTGGACACAGGGTTTCTCTCATTTTTGAGAGGGTTTTTAGGGCAAGGAAGTGTCCGCCGTGCTGCACCAATGCATGTTGGCGAACTTCACATGTTTTCGAAATATATTTTTTTCTTATTTCTCAGCTATGCAGGTTTCCTCACGATGTTTTCCTTCATCGCCGAACATGTAGTAAATCAGCACTTAAAATTGCAATTAACCGGTGCCGGCGACTGACACGACATGATCCATGGACATATACATTTATCCTTCATCTAGAATCAAAATGCAGATACGAGATACGTTGTCACTTCTGAGGACTACGATGGAATGTCTCGTTTTCTCTAAAAATAGTTTCCGTTCCTCTAAACTCACCATACGAAATACGGCAGCAGTAAGCTGCTATTTTATGGTTATTCCGTGATAGTATGGTCTTGGTCCGGTCGAACCGACCGTTCCGTGGTACAAGCATAGTGTAGCTGTAGCACGGCTGCACCACGTTTGAAACAGTAAAGAAATGTGTACGGTGGGGCAGCGGGCTGTTCGCGGCGGTGCGCGCGCTGGAGCGGCTGGAGCTGGCGGGCAACCGGCTGGCGCGCGCCGGCGCCGCGCCCGCGCTCGCGCTGCGCTCGCTGCGCCGCCTCACGCTCTCGCGCAACCCGCTCGCCGACCTGTGCCACGCCGCCACACCACTCCACACCAACGGTTTATGCACATATTTTATTTTTTATCATATACATAAATATTACTCTCATTGTTACTTAAACTGAGTAGTGTTTTAAATTTCTACATCAAATTAAAACTTAGAAGGTCGTTCGAGTTGGATACCATAATTTTTATTCGAAATCTTTTGTGAAGTTACTGCAGATTATAAACAAAACAAAGATTAACTTTAATTCTAAAGTAAGGTTCTCATTTCAAACCCGCGGCTATGGGTCACTAAATGTGTGGATAGGTACCTTTTTAATGTGTAATGTGTAGCCATTGGCATAGAAATGGTTGGGCGTGACTCCTCCACTTGATATCACAGTCTCCAGATAAGTTTAATTTCCCCATCTCCCAGTGACAGTTGTAAGTAGATTAGCTAAAAATGTGTTACGCGTGTGTGCAGCGCTGTCTGAGGTGTGGCAGATGCGGCAGCTGCGGGAGCTGCGGCTGGCGAGCACCAACGCGACGCGCATCTGTGCGGACTGGCGGCGCGAGCTGCGCGCGCTCGAGCTGCTGGACCTGCAGCACAACCGCATCGAGCACTTGCACGTGCGTACACACGGCTTGTGTTGTCACAACTACAAAGTTGTATCTACTTTACTTACACAATATTAAGCGTTTATATGTGACGGACAGGCCGATGACCTGCAGTGGGAGCGTACGCAGCCGTCGCGCGTGTTGCTACGCGGCAACGCGGTGCGCACACTCTCGCTCTCGCGCGAGGACTACGAGCAGGCTCTCGCACAGCCGCCGCCCCTACACGTCAGTATACACTATACAGTACACACGCTTACTCAATGCACAACGCGGTGCGCACGCTCTCGCTCTCGCGCGAGGACTTCGAGCAGGCTCTCGCACAGCCGCCGCCCCTACACGTCAGTATACAATATACAGTACACACGCTTACTCAATGCACAACGCGGTGCGCACGCTCTCGCTCTCGCGCGAGGACTACTAGCAGGCTCTCGCACAGCCGCCGCCCCTACACGTCAGTATACAATATACAGTACACACGCTTACTCAATGCACAACGCGGTGCGCACGCTCTCGCTCTCGCGCGAGGACTTCGAGCAGGCTCTCGCACAGCCGCCGCCCCTACACGTCAGTATACAATATACAGTACACACGCTTACTCAATGCACAACGCGGTGCGCACGCTCTCGCTCTCGCGCGAGGACTACTAGCAGGCTCTCGCACAGCCGCCGCCCCTACACGTCAGTATACAATATACAGTACACACGCTTACTCAATGCACAACGCGGTGCGCACGCTCTCGCTCTCGCGCGAGGACTTCGAGCAGGCTCTCGCACAGCCGCCGCCCCTACACGTCAGTATACAATATACAGTACACACGCTTACTCAATGCACAACGCGGTGCGCACGCTCTCGCTCTCGCGCGAGGACTACAAGCAGGCTCTCGCACAGCCGCCGCCCCTACACGTCAGTATACAATATACAGTACACACGCTTACTCAATGCACAACGCGGTGCGCACGCTCTCGCTCTCGCGCGAGGACTTCGAGCAGGCTCTCGCACAGCCGTCGCCCCTACACGTCAGTATACAATATACAGTACACACGCTTACTCAATGCACAACGCGGTGCGCACGCTCTCGCTCTCGCGCGAGGACTTCGAGCAGGCTCTCGCACAGCCGTCGCCCCTACACGTCAGTATACAATATACAGTACACACGCTTACTCAATGCACAACGCGGTGCGCACGCTCTCGCTCTCGCGCGAGGACTTCGAGCAGGCTCTCGCACAGCCGTCGCCCCTACACGTCAGTATACAATATACAGTACACACGCTTACTCAATGCACAACGCGGTGCGCACGCTCTCGCTCTCGCGCGAGGACTTCGAGCAGGCTCTCGCACAGCCGTCGCCCCTACACGTCAGTATACAATATACAGTACACACGCTTACTCAATGCACAACGCGGTGCGCACGCTCTCGCTCTCGCGCGAGGACTTCGAGCAGGCTCTCGCACAGCCGTCGCCCCTACACGTCAGTATACAATATACAGTACACACGCTTACTCAATGCACAACGCGGTGCGCACGCTCTCGCTCTCGCGCGAGGACTTCGAGCAGGCTCTCGCACAGCCGCCGCCCCTACACGTCAGTATACAGTACAGTGTTGAAGCGCCTGTCAAATTATATTAGCAGTTCTCATGCCAATATTAGTCCGTAAGCTGTGTAGGTATGTTTAAAAAATGTTGTACCTGTCGTCGTTGTAAATTTAGAGATCAAGTAAAGGTCGATTGAGCAAATTACTGCATTTTATTTTTAAAAAGAGATCAAATTCCTAATCATGGTCCTAAATCGAAGCCGGATTTGAAAAAACGTAATTGGACAAGATATTATTTAGTGGAATACGCTTGGGAAGTCTTAAATATTCGTTGTGGAAATACCACCGAGGGAGTGAAGATATTTAACCAAGAAATCTGGAGTCTTAGCCCCTTAGATATTGGACTATTATTTAATTTATTTAACCCAGCACTCATTATCAGGTAGTATTTTGTGTAAATCGACTGCTAATTTATCAGGTTAGTACCAAATTACCTATAAAATAATTACGTATAACTTAAAGTATTTAATCGGCTAAAATTCATTTAATATTGTTTATATAGTTTCTAATAACCGTCAAATCATGATTAAATTAAATTATAAAGCTTAGTTAAATTATATTGACGATATTATAATTTTTTTTTTTCTCTTTATTGGTTTAAACTGTTTTTTTAAAAAAAAAATAAGTCAAGAGAGTGTATAATTGAAAAAATTGCATAATATTATTTATTACATACTAAGGCATACCTGTGAAGCTGTTTGATGGTCTGAATTGTATTTGTTACCCTTAATTGTTGTTAATTATAAAGTTAAATATCAAGGTAGTACATGTACCATTTTGTTTAATTATTTAAGAGTTTGAAAAATAAGTAAGGGAATTAGTTTTCATTTCTTTACAACTGTAAGCAAAATTGTATAAAACTACTTATGAATTATATTTTATAAAATATAAACTTCTTGTTTGTATAAATTTCAGGCATTTGCACTAGTCTCCCAATACCAGCCAACATGCCAGAGGATAAGGAGCAAATTAGGAAACGAGCTAGTTACAAGGGACAAATAACTGCTTTTTCAAATTATTTAAATTCACTGAAGGTATCTTCATTGGCTGCTACTGAGGTAAATGAGTTGCAATTACGTATTGGTAGGATTGAGTCAATGTATGAACGATATGATGAGGTACAATTATCCATCGAGTGTAATACTGATAATATAGACGCCCAGATATCAGAACGAACTGATTTTGAATCCCTGTATTTTAAATCGCTTTCTCTTGCAAAAAGGATCTTAGCAGATTGCATTAAGTCAGATGACGTAAGCAGTGACGGTGGCTCTCATTCCGGCAATCATAAATTTGTTAAACTGCCCACTATTCAACTACCTAAATTTAATGGTTCTTATGATAATTGGTTAGAGTTTCATGACACGTTCATGAGCCTCATAAATTCAAATGACGAGATAGATGACATAAATAAGTTTCACTATCTGAGAGCGTCGTTGGAAGGGCCCGCTGCTGTGGTAATACAGTCAATCGAATTCTCGGCAGCTAATTACACCGTCGCATGGACGATATTATGTGATAGATATGATAATAAAAGACTACTAATTCAAAATCACGTGACAGCCTTATTTAATATAGCACCAATTAATAAAGAATTGTCTGTCAACTTAAAACGTCTTATTGACCAAATAAATAAAAATTTACGTGCACTAGAATCTCTCGGTGAGCCAACTAAACAATGGGACACACTTCTCATTCATATTATTACTCAAAAATTAGATGCTAAGACATATCGTGAATGGGAAGAGTCTAAAGGTCGTTTGGAGAAAGATACACCTATTACGTTCGATATATTTTTGATGTTTTTAAAAAATCGAGCCGATTTAATCGAAACACTAGAAATGTCTAATTCTGGTGCTACTAACCGTTTAAATTCTTCTATAAAATATGCTCCAAAAGTTAAGGCAATGGTTTCAGTTCGGGATACCGGTAATAAAAACGGTTCGGCCCTTTCCGCCAAACTGTGTCCTAAATGTAAGGGTGACCATAAGTTAAGCAGTTGTCCTCAGTTTCTTGGATTAAGTAACGATGTGCGTCTACAGTTACTGCCAGAGTATAAAGTATGTTTCAATTGTCTTAATTCAGGACATTATGCAAATCACTGCAAAAAGCCAGGATGCAAAATATGCCACCGAAAGCATAACACTCTCGTGCACGTCGCAGATTACCAGTCAAAACCAATTACAGATATTAATACATCTAACACGAGTAGTGGTAATAATAAGCCCGTTATGCAAGGTCATTTCGAACAAACAAACAGTTCGACAGGCTCACAGTTGTCATCCAATTCTAACGCACATCTGTCATTATCCGCAAAGGTAGGCACTGCATCGTGTAGTGAACAAGGCGACGTATTGTTATCGACGGCATTAATTAAAGTTATAGGTAAGAATGGTTGTCCATATATTGCTCGTGCTATTCTTGATAGTGGCAGTAACGCTTGTTTAATAACTGAAGAGTTATATCAAAGGCTAGGTTTGCCCGCTCAAAATGTAAATCAGTCGGTAGTCGGTATTAATAATGCTTCGGCACACATCAAGAAGATTTGTAAGGTATCGATAAAATCATTGAATGATAACTTCTCTAGTAATCTTCATTGTTTTGTCCTACCATCAATAACCCAAAATGTACCTACTAGATATGTTAATTTGTCAAACTTAAAAATTCCATCTAATATTTCTCTGGCAGATCCTAATTTTCACTCACCTGCTCCCGTTGACATGCTTATAGGTGCTGATGTCTTTTGGGACTTAATAGGAACGCAGAGATTAAAATTAGGGGACGGTCAGCCGATTCTTTGTGAAACTAGCTTAGGATGGTTAGTATCAGGTCCGATAGATTATAGATATGTAAAGAAAGGGGTTAACTTTATTAAATGTAATTTTACAAGAATATTTCAAGATGAGGCTAGTAAAGATTTAGATGAAGATATACAAAAACAATTAGTACGCTTCTGGCACCTCGAAGAGGTAAGCCCTGCGTCTCTTTATTCAAACGAAGAAAAATTATGCGAAGAACACTTTTTAAAAAACACCACGCGACTGGCAAATGGTCGATTTTGCGTGAGGATACCCTTAAAACATAATCCTGACGTATTAGGTGATTCTTGGCCACGAGCTAAAAAGTGTTTACTATCGCTAGAGCGCAGGTTAGCAGGTCAATCTCAGGTCTATGAAATGTATAAAGAATTTATGTCAAAGTATGAAAGTCTGGGTCATATGGAGAAATGTGAGAATGATAATTTACCACGTAAGATGCATTTTATACCACATCACGGTGTGCTGCGGGAAAGTAGTACTACTACTAAATTAAGAGTCGTTTTCAATGCTAGCAGTCCGACTTCTTCGGGTGTTTCCTTGAATAATATACAGATGGTAGGTCCCGTGGTACAGGACGACCTTTTGTCCATTCTTTTACGCTTTCGGCTACACAAATACGTTCTCACAGCTGATGTTGAGAAAATGTATCGGCAAATAGTCATTCATCCCGATGACCGCTATTTGCAACAAATTGTCTGGCGTGATAACCCTTCAGAACAGCTTCAAGCTTATCAACTTAACACCGTGACTTACGGAACCTCTAGTGCTCCCTTTTTGGCAACTAGGTGCCTCCAACAATTAGGCTTAGAGTGTACCGATGACAAGGTTGCTCAAGTGATCATTCACGATTTTTACGTTGATGACTTGCTAACGGGAGGGGATGATATTAACGAGGTTACAGATTTGCGCCGTAAAGTGACTTCCACACTTGCATCAGCTCATATGGTTTTGCGAAAGTGGAAGTCGAATGAATCTCAACTGGTTAGTGAAAATGATATTTCTCCGCTTGATTTGAATATTGGTGGCTTTGAACCGACTAAAACTTTAGGCCTTGGTTGGCAATCACATACTGACCAACTTTGTTTCCCTATAGGAGGGCTATTCTCAGGTAGAACAAAGCGTGATATGTTATCTGTAATTTCTCAGATTTTTGATCCACTAGGACTTCTATCTCCCTGTGTAATTAAGATGAAAATGCTTCTTCAACAGTTGTGGCTGCTCAAGCTGTCATGGGATGAGCAGTTGACGCCAGAAATCAGCAAGATGTGGGCTGAGATAATAGTCGATTTACCTAAATTAAATACTCTACGTATTCCACGTCGTGTTATTTGTGACTCGCCTAGTTTGTTTGAATTTCATATTTTCTCGGACGCTTCTGAGCGAGCATATGGCGCCTGTTTATATGTGCGTAGTGTTAATGATCAGGGTGAGGTTTTAATTCAATTATTGATGGCGAAAAGTCGTGTCGCGCCGCTTAAACCTATAACAATCCCAAGACTGGAACTTTGTGGTGCACTTGTTGGAGCTCGCCTTTACCAAAAGGTTGTAGCATCGCTGAGACAACAGGCTAAGCGCACTTTCTTTTGGACAGATTCGTCCATCGTGTTAGGATGGTTAAAGGTGTTACCTAGCAAGCTACAACCCTTTGTCAGAAATAGGGTTGCTGAAATATTAGAGAAGACTGGAAATTGCGAGTGGAGGCATGTCCCAACAGAGTGTAATCCGGCCGATCATATTTCTCGCGGTGTGAGTTGTAAGGATATTTCATCCATGAGTAAGTGGTGGTCAGGACCTGAATTTTTAAAGAAAGAGGTCTCTCACTGGCCTGCAAATTTCTTAAGTATTAATCACGAGTTGCCTGAGATTAAATCGTCAAATGTTATCCTCCACGGAATACTTCATTCTAGCAACAATGAAGATTTAGGTGGGAATAAATTAATTGAATTTAAACGCTTTTCTAAATATACTAGATTAAATCGGACCGTTGCTTATGTGCTGCGTTTTATTAATAATTGTAGAAAGCAATCCGTTCACGGTCCTCTAAGCAATCAAGAGTTGCAAACCGCACTCAATGTTATTATAAGAATATCTCAGAGTGAATCATTTGAGGAATACACCATGTTAATTAAAAATAAAAGTTTACCCACTAAAAGGCCGTTGCATAAATTTAATGTATTTCTCGATGATAATAAAATAATGCGTGTTGGAGGGCGTCTTGAAAATTCCGATTACTGTTATGAGAAAAAACATCCCATACTTATACAGTCCACTCATTATTTTACCAAATTGCTCTTCAATTATGAGCACATAAGGTTAATGCACGCGGGACCACAGCTAATGTTGGCCACTATAAGAGATGTACTGGCCGATTAGAGGTCGTAATTTGGCCAGATCTTGTTATCGACAATGTGTAAGATGTAATAGAATGAAAGGAAAAACCATCTCTCCAATAATGGGCAACCTACCACACCAACGCATCCTTTCTGGTTTTCCATTTCAAAATATTGGACTAGACTATGCGGGACCAATTCAATCTGTTTCTCGCCATGGCCGTGGTTGTAAAATTGTAAAGGTGTATATAGCTATTTTTATTTGCTTCGCGACTAAGTCAATTCATCTTGAATTAGTGGGTGATTTAACTAGCAATACCTTCATATTAGCTTTGCGCAGATTTATGTCTAGAAGAGGGAAACCTCTTAATATTTATTCGGATAATGGTACCTCCTTTGTAGGCGCATACAATGACATTTCAAAATTTATTAGGACGTATTGTAATTCTTTATCTGAGGTAATGGCAAATGAAGGAATTAATTTCCATTTCATACCGCCTTATTCTCCCCATTTTGCTGGGCTTGCGGAGGCTGGTGTCAAATGCATTAAATATCATTTAGTTAGAGTGCTGGGCAATTGTAATTTGACTTACGAGGAACTAAATACCACATTAATACAAATTGAGGCTATACTTAACTCCAGACCACTCACACCTTTGTCAACGAATCCTGAAGACTTGCTACCACTAACGCCCGGTCATTTTTTGATTGGACGCCCCTTGACTTCCTTGCCGACACCAGACTATAAAGATCATTCCGTAAGCTCTTTAACCCGATTTCAACGAATAGAACAATTACGTCAACATTTTTGGGCTAGATGGAGCAAGGAATATATATCAGAGCTTCAACTGCGGATGAAATGGCGTTCCTGTAAAGGCTCTTTGAAGTTAAATTCACTGGTACTCCTAAAAGAGGAGAATTCACCGCCATTAAAGTGGAAGATGGGTCGCATCGTCGCAGTCCATCCAGGCTCGGACGGCGTATCAAGGGTGGCGGATATCAAAACATCGACTGGTATAGTTCGCCGATCATTTAGCAAAATTTGTCCGCTTCCTGAACCTGAAGAATCTGGTTGAAAGGTAGACTTTCAACGCCGGGGGGCATGTTGAAGCGCCTGTCAAATTATATTAGCAGTTCTCATGCCAATATTAGTTCGTAAGCTGTGTAGGTATGTTTAAAAAATGTTGTACCTGTCGTTGTTGTAAATTTAGAGATCAAGTAAAGGTCGATTGAGCAAATTACTGCATTTTATTATTAAAAAGAGATCAAATTCCTAATCACGCTTACACAATGCACAACGCGGTGCGCACGCTCTCGCTCTCGCGCGAGGACTACGAGCAGGCTCTCGCACAGCAGCCGCCCCTACACGTCAGTATACAATATACAGTACACACGCGTACTCAATGCACAACGCGGTGCGCACGCTTTCGCTCTCGCGCGAGGACTTCGAGCAGGCTCTCGCATAGCCGCCGCCCCTACACGTCAGTATACAATATACAGTACACACGCGTACTCAATGCACAACGCGGTGCGCACGCTTTCGCTCTCGCGCGAGGACTTCGAGCAGGCTCTCGCATAGCCGCCGCCCCTACACGTCAGTATACAATATACAGTACACACGCGTACTCAATGCACAACGCGGTGCGCACGCTTTCGCTCTCGCGCGAGGACTTCGAGCAGGCTCTCGCATAGCCGCCGCCCCTACACGTCAGTATACAATATACAGTACACACGCGTACTCAATGCACAACGCGGTGCGCACGCTTTCGCTCTCGCGCGAGGACTTCGAGCAGGCTCTCGCATAGCCGCCGCCCCTACACGTCAGTATACAATATACAGTACACACGCTTACTCAATGCACAACGCGGTGCGCACGCTCTCGCTCTCGCGCGAGGACTACGAGCAGGCTCTCGCACAGCCGCCGCCCCTACACGTCAGTATACAATATACAGTACACACGCTTACTCAATGCACAACGCGGTGCGCACGCTCTCGCTCTCGCGCGAGGACTTCGAGCAGGCTCTCGCATAGCCGCCGCCCCTACACGTCAGTATACAATATACAGTACACACGCTTACTCAATGCACAACGCGGTGCGCACGCTCTCGCTCTCGCGCGAGGACTTCGAGCAGGCTCTCGCACAGCCGCCGCCCCTACACGTCAGTATACAATATACAGTACACACGCTTACTCAATGCACAACGCGGTGCGCACGCTCTCGCTCTCGCGCGAGGACTACGAGCAGGCTCTCGCACAGCCGCCGCCCCTACACGTCAGTATACAATATACAGTACACACGCGTACTCAATGCACAACGCGGTGCGCACGCTCTCGCTCTCGCGCGAGGACTTCGAGCAGGCTCTCGCATAGCCGCCGCCCCTACACGTCAGTATACAATATACAGTACACACGCTTACTCAATGCACAACGCGGTGCGCACGCTCTCGCTCTCGCGCGAGGACTTCGAGCAGGCTCTCGCACAGCCGCCGCCCCTACACGTCAGTATACAATATACAGTACACACGCTTACTCAATGCACAACGCGGTGCGCACGCTCTCGCTCTCGCGCGAGGACTTCGAGCAGGCTCTCGCACAGCCGCCGCCCCTACACGTCCGTATACAATATACAGTACACACGCTTACTCAATGCACAACGCGGTGCCCACGCTCTCGCTCTCGCGCGAGGACTTCGAGCAGGCTCTCGCACAGCCGCCGCCCCTACACGTCAGTATACAATATACAGTACACACGCTTACTCAATGCACAACGCGGTGCGCACTCTCTCGCTCTCGCGCGAGGACTTCGAGCAGGCTCTCGCACAGCCGCCGCCCCTACACGTCAGTATACAATATACAGTACACACGCTTACTCAATGCACAACGCGGTGCGCACGCTCTCGCTCTCGCGCGAGGACTTCGAGCAGGCTCTCGCACAGCCGCCGCCCCTACACGTCAGTATACAATATACAGTACACCCGCTTACTCAATGCACAACGCGGTGCGCACGCTCTCGCTCTCGCGCGAGGACTACTAGCAGGCTCTCGCACAGCCGCCGCCCCTACACGTCAGTATACAATATACAGTACACACGCTTACTCAATGCACAACGCGGTGCGCACGCTCTCGCTCTCGCGCGAAGACTTCGAGCAGGCTCTCGCACAGCCGTCGCCCCTACACGTCAGTATACAATATACAGTACACACGCTTACTCAATGCACAACGCGGTGCGCACGCTCTCGCTCTCGCGCGAGGACTTCGAGCAGGCTCTCGCACAGCCGTCGCCCCTACACGTCAGTATACAATATACAGTACACACGCTTACTCAATGCACAACGCGGTGCGCACGCTCTCGCTCTCGCGCGAGGACTTCGAGCAGGCTCTCGCACAGCCGCCACCCCTACACGTCAGTATGCAATATACAGTACACACGCTTACTCAATGCACAACGCGGTGCGCACGCTCTCGCTCTCGCGCGAGGACTACTAGCAGGCTCTCGCACAGCCGCCGCCCCTACACGTCAGTATACAATATACAGTACACACGCTTACTCAATGCACAACGCGGTGCGCACGCTCTCGCTCTCGCGCGAGGACTTCGAGCAGGCTCTCGCACAGCCGTCGCCCCTACACGTCAGTATACAATATACAGTACACACGCTTACTCAATGCACAACGCGGTGCGCACGCTCTCGCTGTCGCGCGAGGACTTCGAGCAGGCTCTCGCACAGCCGCCGCCCCTACACGTCAGTATACAATATACAGTACACACGCTTACTCAATGCACAACGCGGTGCGCACGCTCTCGCTCTCGCGCGAGGACTTCGAGCAGGCTCTCGCACAGCCGTCGCCCCTACACGTCAGTATACAATATACAGTACACACGCTTACTCAATGCACAACGCGGTGCGCACGCTCTCGCTCTCGCGCGAGGACTTCGAGCAGGCTCTCGCACAGCCGTCGCCCCTACACGTCAGTATACAATATACAGTACACACGCGTACTCAATGCACAACGCGGTGCGCACGCTCTCGCTCTCGCGCGAGGACTTCGAGCAGGCTCTCGCACAGCCGCCGCCCCTACACGTCAGTATATAATATACAGTACACACGCTTACTCAATGCACAACGCGGTGCGCACGCTCTCGCTCTCGCGCGAGGGCTTCGAGCAGGCTCTCGCACAGCCGCCGCCCCTACACGTCAGTATACAATATACAGTACACACGCTTACTCAATGCACAACGCGGTGCGCACGCTCTCGCTCTCGCGCGAGGACTACGAGCAGGCTCTCGCATAGCCGCCGCCCCTACACGTCAGTATACAGTACACACGCTTACACAATGCACAACGCGGTGCGCACGCTCTCGCTCTCGCGCGAGGGCTTCGAGCAGGCTCTCGCACAGCCGCCGCCCCTACACGTCAGTATACAATATACAGTACACACGCTTACTCAATGCACAACGCGGTGCGCACGCTCTCGCTCTCGCGCGAGGACTACGAGCAAGCTCTCGCACAACCTTCATTATATTCAATCCATTCATAATTATCTACGATTTCATAATTTACCGTTTTGTATTAAATTATTCGTGCTTAGGCCATCAATCTCTTTTCAATTTAAGTTCGATAAAATTTACTTCACCTATAGAATGAAGTAGTAAATGGCGCTAGTACAAATCATGTTTCTGGAAAGGAAATATTATTTTCAAAGTTTATTGACACAGTTTTAATTACCACATCCCGTAACGTAGATACAACCTACATCGACATCCTACACATCAATTATATGTAGAGGGTCACAATTCACAATCCTCTCCCCACAGCAATACCGTTACGGTAAACAGTGTTTTATTTACATCCTGCGGTCTCAGTGGTTGAACTTCAACACCAATTACTTTTGCATTCCATTACATGAATAAATTTCTAAATAGCGATTTTGTCGTTTTATAATTTTATTCGAGTCACTTATTATCATTTTTGTTTTTGTTTTATACATCATCATACATATCACTATGTTCGAGTTTTATAAAATGGTTTTGCGCAGTAATTACTTAAAAGCTTAATAAGATATACCACCTTAACGGTTAGCCACCGTAGAGTCTATATCACCTGAGGATGCCTCGTGTAGAGGCGAAACACGTGTCGTACTGTCGTCAGTGGTGTGTCTTGCCTAGTGTAGTGGTGTTGGGAGTAGCGGTGCTGGGATTAGTGGTGAAGGGGATAGTGCACGCAATTGAGGGAGGGCGGGAGGTGCTCTTCATACTAGGTAAGACATCATTTTATTTTATAACGTGGATATTTGCGAAGTAAATTTTTCTAAAAGCTTTTATATAATGTATTTCTACAAAGTAACGCCTGATTATATTAATTACAGTTGTTTACGCCCGAACGCTGGTTTCGGAATCGACGTCAGAGGGCTCGCGGCTCGGTGCCATACCGGTTTGACGTTCGGGCTAGCTTGGATGGGTCGAGGGCGCGCGAGCGCACGAGTCGTCTGCCAGCTGTGCTAACGTCAGCACGCTGTCAATTTTTGTGCGGAAACCGCGGAATAGTTTAGGCGTCTAGTAAATATACTGTCTAGGATTTGTAACGCGCATTCCTTGGTGGATAGCCTTTCCCGGGACTTATTGTGTCCGACTCAGAATCTGTATAAGTGCATTCAACAATATTAGCTAGTGCGGCCTTTGATATTCTAGAAAACTGTTGCCACGCGAAACGTAGTGACCTTTGATCCGGACACTCCGTGTTCGTTTTGTGTGTTAAGCTTTATAACAAACGACAGTTAGTGGCTTCTGTAAGTTAATCGTACGATAGAGTTAATGGACTGTCATCGTGACGAACGAAATAAGTGACGGTGGACGGCGCCGCGGAAGATTACCTCAATTTGGAGCGGTGCTGACGTCCGGGCTGCTGCCGACGGTAAAGGTCTAATAAGGTCAATCACCACCAGTCACACCCAGATACACATCACAGCACCTTATTTCCCTTGCACTACACAACCACATGCGACCTGACCGAATCCTGAGGGACCAGTCGCCTTGGATATAGGTAAGTAAGCTCCGTTTAATATTCTCCCTGTTGAATGGCAGTAGTATAAAACGCTCCCCCTTATTGTTTATTGTAATTAGAGAAATTCCACTTTGGCCTTAGGAGGCCCGACCTACGTCTGTTCGTTGAAACTCTGCTGAATGGGCCCCGGAGGATTTGAACTTTTGGAGGAGCAGCCGTAGGCCGTAACAACAGTAATTACTATTCATTAATTTATAGAGGTTCAAATTGGTGAGAAAGTTAGTTTGGATAAATGCAAAGTGGGTATATTTGCGTTATGTATTTAGATGTGTGTGTGTGCTATATTATTTTTGCCATTAGTTGGTGGTAGTTATTGTTTGACATGATTATAATGCTTCACACTAATAAGTGTTAGTTATGGTTTAAGTTATGGTGAGTTATTTTTAAGTCTACGAGGTTAAAGGCGGTCGTTGTTTCCGCTAAGTGCATTGCACTATCCTGTTCTGCGCGGATGCCGGTGCGCTCGATATATTGAAGACGATGAATGAGGAGTGTAGTGTGTGCGTGGTGTCGTGCAGACGACTCGGCTGGAGCTGGATGCGACGCTGCAGTGCGACTGCGGCGTGTACTGGGCGGTGCGGCTGGCGCGCGAGGCGGGTGCGGCGGGCGCGGCGAGTGCGGTGCGCGGCGCGCGCTGCAGCGACGGGCGCGCGCTGGCCGAGCTGCGCGCCGAGCGGCTCGCCTGCGTGCTGCCCCCCGCCCGCTGCGCGCCGCGCTGCGCCTGCGAGCTGCGCGGGCTGCGGCTGCACGCCGACTGCCGGCACGCGCAGCTGGCCCGCGTGCCGCGCTTCCCCGACCCGCTGCTGCCGCCCGCCGTGCTGCTCCTGCAGAACAACTCCATCGCCCACCTGAGCCCGGACGACCTGCCGCCCACGCTGCAGGTACGACTCGCCGCACCACTTCTCACCACACCATTCACATACGCAACACTCTATTCACTGGTATCTTTGTTAAAGTACAAGAGCACAGAATGGATACGATGAACATTCTTTCACATAATTGTTCCGTTAAGGTGACCGCACATTTGTCAACACATTACGCGTCACACGCACCGTACGCACCACGTTTGCTGATGGCCTTGCACATTTGTACGTACGCGCCGTTCGCGCCGAACACATATATTATATATTGCCAACAACTTTTGGAATTTTTAAGTAACATTTTGATCGCTCGGATCGCTATGGAAAAAATATTGTAATAGCCTTCTTATTAGCAGAAGAAGAAGAAAAATTCCGAAGAAAAAGAATTCTGGATTCACAATATTTATTTAAAAATGTAGCTGTTTGCAGAACATTATACTTTATTTAAAGACTTATTAAACGATGATGAACAATTTTTCAGATATTTGCATTTGACATATAAGAAATTACAAAAATTACTTCATATACTAAAACATAAACAAAATTGGTAGTTTTTACTTCCGTTACGAAAGTACCGAATCGAAAATAAAAACCACCAATCTTAGTGGAATATCCACTAAATTGGTAATATTAAACAACACCAAGTATCAGCACGCACCGAACTCGTCGCATGACGTCATCAGCATACCTCCTACAATATTTGGATACCTACCACATTCTATAAAATACGGCGCGTACAGTGCAGATCTAATATGTGGGATTTCATATGATTTCATCCAACAAATGCTTAATTGTGGCGCGTACGGTGCTGATAAATGTGCATTCAGCTTTAGTTAACCTTCGTCATCTATTGGACATTTACGTGTCATTCATTTACAGTATATTAGCTGGAATAAATTTTAAAGAATAATTTTTATTCAATAAAAATTATAACATAATACTTATTGAAAATTTACTGCATTAGCTGAAAGCTATATGGTTAACGCCACAATGAATGGAGAAAAAAAAGCAATGTTTTCATATATTTGATTATCTTTTTATGTGTTTATTTATAAACATATAAAAAGACAATCAAATTAAATAGTTTTATAAACAAACAAGCAATTATAACAGAAAATAATATAAAAATATTGATTTAAAACAAATTTGTTAATGATTATTGAAAATAATTTTTTACATTGACTATTAGTATAGAAAAAAAAATCGGTTGTCTGTAAAGTCGGTTTACTGACGATAGTTGAACGTGACAACGTCATAAGAAAATGTTGCTATAAACAATTGACACTACATTCACTTTTCACTGCACTTCATACTTGACGAAAACATGTAAATGTATTATTGTATAGCAGCTGTCCATGCGGACGCATCGCTCACTGAAGTAGGAGAGAGACAGATGTCGAACGCTGCCGAACTCGGAGGCAGATTGTGCCTTTTTGTCGCTCGTTCCGCGCTCTCGCTTGCACTTCAAGTTTTAAATGGAACGCCTCAGAGCGAGGTAACGCCGCAACAATCATGTTTTTTCGTGCGTGCAGCCAGCTTCATCGAATTAGAAGACGTTGTCACGTCAAAAAATTATTTGTCCTGGGAAGAAATGACACGAAACTTAGTTGTTTTTTTTAAATATTTTAGTTATTGTATAAGGTTATTTCGATTTTTATTTTTGATGAAATAATTATTGCTAACAATGGAATGTCTTTTAATTCATGAAATTTATATAGATTTTTTTATTTTAGATATGGTCGATTATGATCGAAAGGTGGTTAACGATAGAGTACATTTCGATGGTAATACTGCAGTAGTTGTCATTATTAATTTTCTTATGATAGTCTGTATCTCGTTTTAATCATGTGCAGGATGTCACTCATATTATGCATATAATATTACATGTTATTTACTTTTAAACTTTCAAATACTAGTCTGTGTTTAATTTGAGACGTAATATGTAGGTTGTCATTTACAGTATCCATTAGTATAAATACGAGGGTGATTTTTCTGACAGCTGGTGGACCTGAGCTACAACCGGCTGTCGGACGTGGAGGCAGAGAGCGCGGCGGCGCTGTTCGCGGGCGAGGAGCGGCGCGTGCGGCTGGCCGGCAACCCGCTGGCCTGCTGCGGCGCGCTGGCCGCCGCCGCGCGCGCGCACCCAGCGCGCCTCGACGACTGGCGCGCGCTGCGCTGCGGCGACCGCCCGCTCTCCGTGGCCGCGCCCGAGGAGCTCTGCGGCGCGCCGGCGTGGCGCGTGCCCGCCGCCGCCACTGGCGCCGCCCTGCTTCTAACCGCCGCTCTTGTCGCCATTGCGCTCGTCCGTCCCGCAGCGCGCGCTTCACTTAAGCGTTTCCTCTGCACACACTGGTCGCATCCATCGGCGGACGGCGACGACGATCGCCCCTACGACGTGTTCGTGTCGTTCTCGCATAAAGACCACGCGTTCGTCACGGAACACCTGGTGCCCGGGCTGGAGGGCGGGTCGCGGCCGTACCGCGTGTGCGTGCACTACCGCGACTGGGCGGCCGGCGACTGGATCCCGGCGCAGATCGCGCGCTCCGTGCGGCAGGCGCGGCGCACGCTGGCGGTGGTGTCGCGGCACTGGGCGCAGTCGGCGTGGGCGCGCGCGGAGTTCCGCGAGGCGCGCGCGGCGGCGCTGCGCGACGCGCGGCCGCGCCTGCTGGCCGTGCTGCTCGACGAGCCGGCGCGCCTGGCCGAGCTGGCGCGCCTGGAGCCCGAGCTGCGCGACTACCTGGCCTCCAACACCTACCTGCGCTGGGACGACCCCGCCTTCTGGCACAAGCTGCGGCGCGCGCTGCCGCACGGCCCCTCCGCCCCTGCCCCCGCTCCCGCTACCGACACACCCGCAATTACTACCGACACACCCGCAATTACTACCGACACACCCGCCATTACTACCGACACACCCATCATTACTACCGACACACCCCCTGCCACCCCTGCGCTCTTCACATCACCTGTTGCCTAGCCGAACAAATTAATTGAACTTTTAATATTTAAAATCGTTTAACAGTAGGGAGAGCAGAGGCTGAGGGGAAGGGAAGCAGTGAGCATCCCCTTACCCCCGACACCACTCCCATTAAAAGATAATACACCGTTCTTAAGAAAAATCATCAAAATAAGTATAGACTAGAATAATGTGACACTAGTCTTACATCCAGCTTTCACAGTAATATTGCATACACTTTCCCATGTTTTACGCATTTTAAGTTATAATAGTTTTTATTTATTTTTTCGACTAGTGTGCATTACCTTTTAATATGAGTGGTGTTATTATAATCAGAAACCTAACCTTTAGCAAATAAAACACCTTACTCCCCCAAATTCCTGCCATACAATTCTAAAACCAACCCAAAGAATCCAACTTACAAACTGACTAAAATAATAATTGAGGGGCTATTTTTTCAATTTATTTCTAATAATGAAAAACTGAAAAATAACAAGAAAAAAACAAAATGAATGTAGATTTTAGCATTTAAAATCTACATTCATTTTCTTTAAAATGATAAAATCATCAAACTCAATTTTGAATCTTAATGCGTAAATAATGAATCTCAGTAATAAACAAATGCAATACTAAATAGTATTCAGAAATTTTAAGTGCAGGTGGCCGGAGGCCCCATTCCCCCCCCCCCCCCCCCCCCGCCCCATCAACATGGTAGTGGAATTAAATAAAAGACTACCCCAGGAGGGTATCAGCACCCCTGGAGAATCCCTCGCTGAACATCCACGACCAAACTACTTCACTCCTGAGCGTGAGTGCTCAGGCTGCCCCGGGCAACGGAGGGACTTCATTCCAACCTTAACGCTGTCCATTACCATCTAGAGACAGAGAAGCCGGCCTTGCTCTTTTTAACCGAGACTCAGGTGTCTTCTCCGGTTGCTAATTCATATCTCTCCTACCCGGGGTACAAATTAGAACACTCCTTTGTGCCCCGGGCTGGAGTTTGCGTATACGTCAGAGGGGACATCTGTTTTCGACGCCTCGGCAGTCTTGAAGGTACGGACCTGTCCATCCTATGGCTGCGCGTAGACAGCGACGACCATCCCCGCGTCTACGGGTGCCTCCATAGGTCCCATAGCGGTAATGCCGACACAGACCGACTCATCGACCACGTCCAAATGGCTGCAGACTCCGTGCTATAACAGGTCCCATCCGCAGAGATCGTGATACTCGGGGATTTTAACGCCCACCACACTGAATGGCTTGGTTCTCGTTTAACCGATCATGCGGGTAGATCTGTCTATGACTTTGCTTTGGCATATGGTCTAATACAACTGGTTACTTCGCCTACGCGGATCCCAGATGTGAAAGACCATGTACCTTCCCTGTTGGATCTTCTGCTGACCTCTCATCCGGACGGATATCAGGTCTCCGACGATGCTCCTCTGGGCTCTTCGGACCGTTGTCTGATCCGGAGTGCCACTCACGCTGCAATCGCAGTTGCGAGCTGTAGCTTGCCGCCGTGTTTGGCACTATAGGCCAGCTGATTGGGACGGGATGCGGTCTTTTTTTGCACCCTACCCTTGGGGGCGGGTTTGCTTCTCGCCGGAAGATCCTAGCGTTGTTGCCGATTGTTGCTGATGTGGTACTTCAGGGTATGGAATTTTTTATTCCATCCTCTATGGTGCCCATCGGAGGCAGATCCCAGCCATGGTTTGGTCGCTCCTGTAAAATAGCATCACACTATAAGCAGGAGTGCTACCGGGCCTGGGCTGACGCATCAACGTCTCGGGATGTAAACACCAGCGCACTTAGAAAGAAGTATAATTCCGCCTCCAGGTCCTTCAAAAGCATCATTGCCAAGAATAGAATAGAATAGAAGGTCTGAGCACATCGGCAGAATTGGCGAGAAGCTAGTTCGCCTTTCTTCGGGAACCCGTGCATTCTGGTCTCTCGCCAAGGCTGTCTAAGGGAACTTCTGTCAGCCATCTCTTCTATCTCTGCACAGAGAGGACGACTCACTGGCCCATGCCGCATAGGAGAAAGCCGATCTGTTGAGCTCTTTGCGTCCAACTCGACTCTTGATGACGGGGGGAACACACCGTCGACCATCCCGCGATGTGAGTGCTCCATGCCGGATGTGCGGTTTACACAGCGCTCGGTTCGCAAAGCACTCTTCTCCCTGGACGTCAGCAAGTCGAGTGGGCCCGATGGAGTCCCTCCCATTGTGCTGAAGACGTGTGCTCCGAAGTTGGCACCGGTTTTAACGCGTCTATTCCGGTACTCCTACTCCCAAGGCGTAGTCCCGAATTCATGGAAGACAGCTTTGGTCCACCCGATCCCTAAAAAAGGCGACCGCTCAGACCCATCCAACTACAGGTCTATCGCCATCACCTCCTTGTTCTCCAAAATAATGGAATCCATTATAAACTGCCAGCTCATGAGGTACCTTGAGGATCACCAGCTGATTAGTGACCGCCAGTACGGTTATCGTCGGGGTCGATCAGCTGGTGATCTTCTAGTGTATCTGACTCATAGATGGGCGGAGGCAGTAGAGTCCAAGGGGGAGGCATTGGCCGTTAGGTTGGACATAGCGAAGGCCTACGATCGGGTCTGGCACAAAGCGCTTCTTTCGAAGCTTCCTTCCTATGGGATTCCCGAGAAATTGTGCAAATGGATCACCAGATTCCTTGCTGATCGAAGCATCAAGGTCGTAGTGGACGGTGCATGCTCTGATTTCAAGCCTATCAACGCTGGTGTTCCACAAAGCTGCGTGCTATCACCAACGCTGTTTCTCCTGCATATCAATGATATGTTGCTAACTGGTAGCATTCATTGCTATGCGGACGACAGCACTGATGATGCCTTATATACCGGCCGTGCCAATATTTCTCGGGAAAACGTCGCCGAGTACCGGGACAAACTTGTGTCTGAAGTCGATTCTTTGCTTAACAAAGTCTCGGATTAGGGGCGACTAAATCTAGTCCAGTTCAATCCCCAGAAGACACAAGTTTGCGCGTTTACCGCTAAAAAGAACCCCTTTGTCGTATCTCCTCAGTTTCAAGGCACTCCCCTATCTGCCTCAGCTAGTATCGAAATCCTTGGCGTCGACATATCGAATAGTGTGCAGTTTCGTGGTCACTTGGAAGGGAGGCCAAATTGGCCTCTAAAAAGCTTGGCGTGCTCAGCGAGCGAGACAGTATTTCATGTCGGCACATCGCTTGCAACTTTATAAAGCGCAAGTTCGGCCCCACATGGAATACTGTTCTCATCTCTGGGCCGGGGCACCCCAGTGCCAGCTCCTCCCACTTGACCGCATCCAGCGCAGAGCGGTTCGAATCGCCGAGGACCGAGTTCTTTCTGATCGGCTCAATACACTGGCACTGCGTAGAGATGTTGCATCTCTTTGCGTATTTTATCGCTTCTATCACGGGGAGTGCTCTGAGGAATTGTTCGGACTATTTCAAGCCGCTAAATTTCACCATCGCACATCGCGACAAAACTCGCGTTACCATCCATACCATCTGGGTGATTGGCGGTCCACCACTGTGCGATTTAGAAGAAGTTTTCTCCCTCGCACAACTTCTTTGTGGAATCAATTACCACCAGCGAATTTTCCGGACCGATACGACTTAGGAACCTTCAAGAAAAGAGCTTACACTTTTTTAAAAGGCCGGCAACGCATCTGCAATTCCCGTGGTGTTGCGGTTGTTCATGGGCGGCGGTAGTCATTTACCATCAGGTGAGCCGCATGCTCGTTTGCCCCCTCTTCTATAAAAAAAAAACACTCATATAATAATAGAAACAGAAACTTTTTTATTCAATATAGATTATAAATAATACTTATTGAAAGTCACTCTTTTGTTTTAATTACCACTGGTTCGAAAAAAAAACCTCTGTCCTGGGAAGAACCAGCATGAAACCCAGCGGGAGTTTTTTTTAAATAACAGCCTCCAATCATGTGTCATCACACTTAACCACACCAAACAAATTAGAAATAGCTTGGTAGCGATCACCTCATTCCCAGGGGTTGTTATCATCCATAAATTTCTTAATATTATATATATAACTTTTTATACAAACGTTGTTTAATAAAGTGTTTGAAGTTTGAGCAGGTTAAATTTTGTATATTATTATATTATATATTAATCAATATTATATTATAATAGTATATTATTAATCAATAAGTTTTTACTAATACTCCCATAAAAACTACCCCCTCGAAGACTACAGGCGAGACGCTTATTACCACGTATTTATTTTTAACGTTTACACTAGTTATTAACGTGAAACTGACACGATTATTGTTACAAAATAATTGGAGAATCTAATAGTATCTAGTTTACAACCAATAGTTAAAAAAGAATAAACATTACTCTACGAATAAAGCAATTAAGTATTAAAATCGTAGTGTAAGTTTCAGTAGTACAAGTATTTTTAGTTCATATTACAAAATTTAAAATAATATATATTGTGTTATATGTTTTTAATAGACAGCCGTGGAAAATATGGGCGGCAAAAATAAATTTTTGAGTGATTTTATTTGTAATCTTTATAGAATATTCTAGTTGAGTATATAAATGAAAACATAAACGTATCGCTCTTTCTAGATTAATTATTAATATAGGACTAACTATTTCCGAAATCCCCATAATTTATTTTTTGTATAAGCAACGGGGGCAAGAATGAAAAAAAAAAATTTAAATCCCCAAGTCCCTAACGTGTGTTACAACAATTGAAGGGGATTTAAGGAATTAAATATTTGGATATTTTTTTCTTGGTGCACTGCGAACAACTTTATGACCGCAATGAATGGGTTATTATTATGTAGGTTCCTGTTATAAAAAATATATGTGCCTTATTCAATACTGTATGTGATATTTTTATTATAGTGTACGCCGATATTTCAATCATCCAATAAATTTTATCCATCAAATAAATTATAACCTGACTGAATAAGTAAAACATTTGAAGTATTTTTACATAAAACTGGCATTTTTTATTCTTGTATGTTGTATTTATAC